ACATTTCAAAGAATATGTAGTAATCTGAGACTATTTTAAAAGCACATGAGGCATATCAATAAATAAACCTAAAAAAAATTTAAATGACCAATGAAAATCCAATTATTTTTTGGGAGTTTCACTAAAACATCTAAAATGGAGGTTGAAATTATTAAAAAACCCAACACCCAAAATACTTTATAAACACACCCAAAACCCATCATTACACACACTCAAAACCCATTTATAAACACACACAAAAAGTTGATTTTGGGTGTGTTTCTATGTTTAAATAGTGCTTGGGTTTTTTTTTATAAATACATGTCTAGGATTGGGTTTATTTATAAATTTGTATTATTTTTTTTTTAAAGTTGATTTGGCACCGTTTTACTTAGGGGTGGGCATCAATCAAGTCGAACCAATAAAATCAGCTAATTCAAACTGTAATTATCAATTGGTTTGGTTTTAACCAAGAAAAAGCCAAACGATTTAAAAACTGAACCGGACTGTATATGATTTGATTTGATTTTGAGCTTTTATAAACTAACATAAACCAAACCGGATCATATATGTGTATATTTATTTGTTTATATTATATTTTACATGTGTAATACTCCAATTGGGGTATAACTATATAAATGAATTGAGCTATATTAATTATGGAAATTTGAAGTTTTATGGCATGTTGAGCTTTAGGATGCTTTTGTACTCTAGAAAACGATTTTTTTTATTTTTTATTTTTGATGAAATACTTTAAACATGATGGCCAGTTTTGCATTGCTGTGCTGTAAAAATAATTGCTATCAGATTTGCTGTGAGAGAAATCAGTTGTGAAAGAAAGCAATTTGGTGTTTGGTAAATTTTTTGTTAAAAGTATTGTTGGTATTGATTTTACACATAATCAAAAAATAATTGCCACATAATCATTAAACCTAGCACTTCTTCGAAATTAATTCCTGCATAATTAGAAAATGAAAGCACATCATTAGCTGTTTTCTCTTATAGCTTTCTCTCACAGCAATTTTTAACAATAAGTGATTTTCTCACAGTTTACCAAAGGGGTTGGGTTTCCCAAATTTTTTGAAAAATCACTTATCACCCCAAACAAGCAATGTCAAACGGGCACTAAGGGGTGTATTCAATTTAGATTTTAAAAAGTTTAAAAGTTTAGGTGTATTCAATCATGATTTTATAGAAGTATATTCAATTTTGGGTCTATTCAATTCAGACATTTTAAACTCCATTCAAATTTTAGGCCACGACAAATCTTTGCTTTCCCCCAAAGACTTTGATAGATGTATTATTTTTATTCTCAAGATATAATTTCACCACTAATACTACCACTATCTTATCATGACTATCACCATCAGCGCCACCGCTACCACCACCACCATGATAGTTATCGTCGTCGCCACAACCACCATAGTCATCGCCGCCAGCCCCCAACACCACCACCACCATCACCTACACTGCTTGCACCATCACCGCCACAACCTCCACCACTATCGTCACCACCCTTACCCCTATCTCCACCACCACTACCACACCCACTATCAGCCCCACTGTCACCACCACCATAACCATTGCCAATGTCAACACCATCACTGCAACTACCATCGCCACCACCACCACCATCACTACCACCCTCACCTCCTCCACCACTACCTCCCCAACAAACCAGGATCGCTACTGCCATCACCACCACCGTCATCGCTACAAACTCCATTAAAATCAATAATAAAATTCTAACAAGCTCAATTAAAATCTATACACGAATTCAATCAAAATCTATGTAGAATTTGTAGAATTCAATCAAACTCAATTAAATTCAATTAAACTCCATCAACTTTATAACTCTTTAAAAATCAATCAAGTATGGAATAAGTTGAGAATTTATTTGTTATAATTGAGGTTAACAATATTAAAGTGAAATTGATCCCATCTGAATCTGAACTGTGCCCACCCCTAGTTTTACTCACTCGTTACTTGGAGATTAAAGAGCATTCATGCCTCTAAATAAGAGGAAAAAGTAAATTTAAGTTTTAGCCAAAAAAAAAATTTCACTTTTGGAAAAAGCCAAAACTTTTTTCAAGAAGACAGAAAAACCTTTCAACTTTCAAATAAAAAATGTAACACCCCGACCCCAAATTTATCCCATGTTTTAATTTATTTAAGTGGAATTGAGAAATTACCCGTGGGATAGGGGTATTTTAGTCATTTTCTTATCCGGAAGGAATTTGGGAATTCCGGTTGTACCGTTGCGTAGAGCACGGTGAGATGAGTTCGTAGACACGTAGTGGGCTCGAATCGGAGTTGTAACGAGAGAGATATGGTCAAATGAAGCTCAGTGGCATAATCGTAAATATTTTGAAGTGAGTTTTTGGTTAAAAGACAGAATTGCCCCCGTCTCTCTCTCTCTCTCTCTCCCCGCGCGTCTCTCCCTCTCTCCTCTGGTTTTCGCGACGGCTGGAACAGCCGGCCACGTTTTGACCGGTCGTGCTCTCGTCCGGCCACCAAACTTGACGGGGCCGGTACCAAAATGACCGAGCCGTCGTCCTCTTCCTACCCCATCCAGGTCCCGCCGCCAGCCTTCGGGATTTCGCCGGAAAATCGAAGAAAACAGCTCTGTTTCGCCCGAAACTTCGCCGGCTTCGTTCTCCGTCGTCCGGCCACCGATTTCGGCAAGTGAGGTATGGTTTCTCACTTATTTTCCGAGCTCTAGCTGATGGTTGGGTAGGTTTGCATCGATTTTGAGTGTAGATCATCCGATTTTCGATTTAGGTTTCGGCCAATTTTGTGATCGCGATTCTGGCCACCTCCGATCAATTTTTGGGGTATGCCCAAGAACAAAAGTGACTCCAAATTAGGTGTATTACCTAGGGGAGGAGTCTTGGCTCACGATTTGGAAGTTTTCCGGCGATGCGATATCGCTTTAGGCACCCACGCGCTGCCGGCCCGTGTGGCGGCGCGTGGGCACTGTAGCTGAGGGGCTTTTTGTCCGCATTGTGATCCTCTCGATGTCACGAGCGCGTAGGTGTGCTCGGATCTCGTTTTGGATACCGTTAGAGTTCCGAACGAATATCGCATAACGCGTATTTTCCGGGTTCGTTAGGTTTGGACCGTTGGATGGTCCTGAAGTTATAATATGTTGATCTAGGTATTACCAGGATCATGTAGGATTTGACGGATCGTAAAATGGAGTCCCGGATACTCC